TTTAGATGGCAATTTATAATTATTGGAAGTCTCGTATAAAATTACTGTATGCTTTAACCTAATAAAATAGCTTAATCCGTTAATTTCGTATTGAATTAACAATTGCATGCAGCAGGTATTTTACAATTAGTTTCTTGTTAAATAACAATTTAGATGGCGATTTATAATTATTGGAAGTCTCATATAAAATTATTGCATGCTTTAACCAAATAAAATAGCTTAATCCGTTAATTTCGTATTGAATTAACAATTGCATGCAGCAGGTATTTTACAATATTTATTATAAGTAATACATTCCTTTAACATTACCTATAGTGTGCATAGAGTAAAGTGAGGTTTTAGCTTTACTTCCATGTTCTTTAATTATGGGATAATTACTGTTTTTCAATAATTAACAATTTGGATGATTGTTTATAATTATTGGAAGCCTTAAATAAAATTATTGTATGCCTTACCTCAATAAAACTGCTTAATACAGTGATTTCGTATTGAATTAGCCATTGTATTCAGTAGATAAGTCAGGAATTGTTAATAACTCTTATTAAAAATTAAACAAATTAATGTTTTCTTGTTATGAATTACAGATGGACCTTGCAGGACACCATGGGAATCAAGGAAAGGACTTTATCATCGGAAAACTGAAGAAATGGAATTATTTATAAACAAATTAATTATTTATTGTAAGATAAATGTACCAAATGTATTTTACAAAAGGATACAATATACCAGTATTGTTTTACAGCATTTTACAGTCTATTTCTTCCCTACAAACCCCTTTGTTCACATTCAATTGCAAAAAACTCATTATTTAAACAATATTTCCTTGCAAAATTATATAAACAAAGTCCGGGAAACCGCCAGGAAGGCGTACATATAAAAAAAATCGAAAAAATCCCGAAATTCTAGCGAAAACTACGAAAATTGTGAACAGGAATCGAAATTCGGTGTGAGAATACCCTACGGGTGCTAAAGTCCTCGAGAATTCCTGGAAATGACGTCATTTCTCGGAAATGACGAAATTTCCAAGAATCGAGGCGATTCCAAGAATTGACCAATGGGCCTTTGAAAATGTCAGTCCTCGAGAATTCCTGGAATTTTCGTAATTTCTCGGAAATGACCAGATTTCCAAGAATCGAGGCGATTCCAAGAATTGACCAATGGGCCTTCGAAACTTTCAGTTCTCGAGAATTCCTGGAATTTTCGTCATTTCTCGGAAATGACGAAATTTCCAAGAATCGAGGCGATTCCAAGAATTGACCAATGGGCCTTCGAAACTTTCAGTTCTCGAGAATTCCTGGAATTTACGTCATTTCCGAGAAACGACGAAATTTCCGAGAATCGAGGCGATTCCAGGAAGCGACCTCCTATCACATCATGTTCGCCTATTAGAAAGTACATTTTCGGCCAAAAATTTTCGAAAATCGAAAATCGGGACTTTGTATTAGGCGAATATGATGTGACAGGAGGTCGCTTCTTGGAATCGCCTCGATTCTTGGAAATTTCGTCATTTCCGAGAAATGACGTCATTTCTCGGAAATTTGGTCATTTCCGCGAAATGACGAAAATTCCAGGAATTCTCGAGAACTGAAATTTTGGAAGACAATTCGACCGAAAATCGACTTTCTAATAGGCGAACATGATATGACAGGAGGGCGATTCCTGGAAGTGACTCGATTCTCGGGAATTTGGTCATTTCCGCGAAATGACGAAAATTCCAGGAATTCTCGAGAACTGAAATTTTGGAAGACAATTCGACCGAAAATCGACTTTCTAATAGGCGAACATGATATGACAGGAGGTCGATTCCTGGAAGTGACTCGATTCTCGGAAATCTGGTCATTTCCGAGAAATGATGAAAATTCCAGGAATTCTCGAGAACTGAAATTTTCAAAGGCCCATCGGTCAATTCTTGGAATCGCCTCGATTCTTGGAAATTTCGTCATTTCCGAGAAATGACGTCATTTCCAGGAATTCTCGAGGACTTTAGCACCCGTAGGGTATTCTCACACCGAATTTCGATATCTTTTCATAATTTTCGTAGTTTCCGCTGGAATTTCGGGATTTTTTCGAGTTTTTCGATGAAAACGCCTTTCTGGCGGTTTCCCGGACCTTATTTATATAATTTTGCAATGAAATATTGTTTAAATAATGAGTTATTTGCAATTAAAAGTGAATAAAGTGATTTGTAGCGGAGAAATAGGCTGTAAAATGCTGTAAAGCAATACTGGAGTATTGTAACCTTTTGTAAAATACATTTTGAACAGTTTATTTAATTTTGCAGTGAAATATTGTTTAAACAATGAGTTTTTTGCAAAGGAAATGAATGTAACGTGTAAGGGAGAGATAAATAGATTGTAAAATGCTGTAAAACAATACTGGAGCATTGTAACCTTTTGTAAAATACATATTGTACAGTTTAATTAATTTAGCAATGAAATATTGTTTAAACAATGAGTTTCCAGCTAAGGAAATGGACGTGGTGTGTAAGGAAGAGATATATAGACTGTAAAATGCTGTAAAACAATTCGGGTATATTGTAACCTTTTGTAAAATACATTTTGTACAGTTATCTTGTAATAAATAATTGATTTGTTAATAAATAATTGCATTTCTTCAGTTTTCTCGATGTTAAAGTCTATTCCTTGATTCCCATGGTGTCCTGGAAGGTCCATCTGTAATTCATACGAAGGAAACATTAATTTGTTTAATTTTTAATAAAAGTTATTAACAATTCCTGACTTATCTACTGAATACGACAGTTAATTCAATACAAAACCACCGTATTGAGCAGTTTTATTAAGGTTAAGCATACGATAATTTTATTTAAGACTTTCAATAATTATAAACAACCATCTGAATTGTTATTTAACAAGAAACATTAATTGTTCTACTATTAAAATACTTGAAAATAAAGCAGAAACTTTATTTTGCTATCTACATCGTTAGTATTGTTAAAACCATTAAAAATTTTATTATAAGTATCAATTTTAAACTGCTTACTGCATGCAATTATGCTCTAATTTACAATAACTATTATCAAAAGCGAAAAATTCAACGGATTTCCATGATTAAAATCAACTAACCTGATTAATACTGCATTTCTGACGATGCTCTCGACGATACTGTCGATCCATCGAATGTAAATATCTTTATATGCGGATTTGACAAAAGAGGATCTTTTACATCTATCGACTTTACCGTATTTAATGGTTGGATTGTATATAATTCTTAAACTCACCGCTCTATTATCGTACAGTGTATAACGAAACCTCCGATTTTTTGACACTATCGGTATACCAGAACGTTGTGGTGTTTTAGGTCTATCCTGTACTTGGTCTGTGAATAATACTCCTAAACAATATCGTGAAACAAAATTTCTCGGAAGAATGTACAAACACGAAATATCATTTATTTGATACAATGGGCTAAAAAATAGTAGATCAATTTGACCAATTGACAATATGCACCAAGGAAAACAGGGAAAGGGGCGAGTAAAAAGGAACGTGATCCGTATCCGTCATCTCGTCTTACGTTTATTCGCCGTCTATCTATGAAATGACACCAAACGTCTACTTTTGCTTGTACTCGCCATTAACGCTAAACAGTTACTCGCTTGCCTCGGTGTATTTCTGTGTCTCTGTGTGTCAATGTATCCGAGTGTGTGTGTGTCTGTGTATCTCTTTTACCTTAAAATACTCGCAAATAGGATGGTCTACTTTCGCGTGTACCGCCGCGGTATTCACACACGAACGTGTGTCGTCTCTGTGTGGTCGTTTACGTATGCAAGAATTGTTACAGTGCGGTTCGTGGACGTAAAAGGGCAAAAAACGTACGACCTGACCAACGTTCCGCTACCTTATCCAGCTGTTCCGATTTCTACGATCGGGCACGCATAATTTCCTCGCGTGAAACGGAATGTACAGGAACAGTCGAGGATCGGAATCGATCGTTAAAACCTTCTCTCTCCGCGCGTATAACACGGAAGAAAAACCGCATGGAAAATGTGGTTACTCTTCGATCTCATTCTCGACTGTCCGTTACAATGCCTACGGAACATTCTTCTCGCGTGTAAATGGAATGTACAGGAAGCGTCGAGCTTGAAATCAATTATCCAACCCTCCTCGACTTATACGTATATGTAGAATGAAAGAAAAATGGTGGAAAATTTTGGTCTTCCTTTAATTCCAACCTCGACGATTCGTAATACTTCCTCTTTTATCGATACCTGGTCGCTTGAACAGTGAGAATAAACGGCGTTAACGATACTCGAGGATCGTGTACATTACACTTGACAATATTATCGTTCATTTCAACATGGTTACAGTTTCTTTTCCACAGAGTTCCATAGATTTCAACGGCGACGATTAATCGACGGAAACGTTGCAGTATCCTGAAACACCGGTTCCTCGAGCGACTGCCTTTGGTCGTGTAACAAATACCTCGATATCTCTACGCGTTTGAAGTGAGAAATTGCGAGAAGGCGGACAGAGAGAGTACACGGAGAAACAACATGGTCTGTAAGAAAGATACGTTCTCGTTATAGACCACGCCTTCTCCATGATCGATCTTCCCGCCCGTGTGTTAACCAATATGTGCGAACAATCGTCTCGGTGCAGCTTCTACGGTAGAAGGTGAAGAGAGTTCGTTCTCTCTCCCTCTCTCTTTCTCTCTTTGAGTGAATCTCGGTGAAGAAAGTACGGTAGCTATGTATGCTCTCGCCTTTGGATAGTAGAAATTGTGCAACGTTCGTGTGTGTGTCACTCTCTCGGTGATATTCCGTGCGACACTCGCGGCGGTATTCTACGTCGAAATATCTTTTCTAGAAAAAAGGGGGAGAAAGAATAACGAACTGGTCGGTCCTCTGTCCCGTCCGGTGCCACTTGATGCGTTTTTGTACTTGCTTCTCGGACATTTTTTTTCGGTTTTTATTTCTTTTTTATTTAGCTAAGTTCGTTTCTTATTTTCTTTTTTTTGGTTTTCTCATTTTTTTGGTTGTTTCGTTCGTTCATTAGGCCCTAAAAGGTGATCACAAGTGGTGCGAAGAGAGAGTCGTGAGTTAAGTTCCGTCGTAGCCGTGTGGCGGTGGTGGTGGTGGTGCGTGATGATGCATGTGGATGTGTGGCGGCAGTTCGACTGTGGGAACACCCAAGCTGCTCCTCTGTGACAAACAAAATATATCTTTCACTGATAACGTAAAATACACACTTTGTGTCAATTTTCAGACTACTGTGCGTTGAAAGTTAACACATTGCGGACGGGAGACGCGAATTCGCATCGTCTTCATCTCTATTATCGAATTCAGTGTTATAAGTTATTTTTGAAAAACTTTCCAATGTAGCATATCGTCAGCAATGTGTCAAGCAAGAATTTCGCAGAAAGAAATTAGAATTTGTTTCTTTCTCGATATTTCTACGTCACGCAGAAGTCTTGCCTGCGATCTCATCCCGTTCAAGGGGGTGGCAGTGGGGTTGTCCGGCGGATAGCCGAGCACATGGGTCGAGCACTTCTCGCAGGCGCGTCGGCGTCGCGACGACGCGTGGCAGCGCAACGCCCGGCACAATTCTCGCGCCATTTCCGAGCACAGCGACTCCTGTTGCTGATTCTGCTGCTGCTGCTGCTGTTGCGCTGCTGGTGCCTGCTGCTGTTGTTGTTGCTGCTGTTGCTGTACGGATTGAGAGATCCCTTGCAGAGAATCTGAAGAGGCTGGTGTCGATACTGGAGCTCTCTGTTTATCCAATTTATAGGCAAACAAGGGAACCGTAATAGTAATTCTTCGTACAAAAATCTCGTCAACAAAAAAGAACGTGAATTCGTTGCAAAATTACGAGCTTCTCGGAAGAGAGCAGGAAATATCTACTTAAAAAAAGTGGGAAAAATTGGGAGAAAAAGAAAACGATGACGGACCTTGGTACACAAATGAGCTTCGTGCGTTCGCAGTCGGCCGGCATGCTTCAGTGAAGGATGAGCTCATGCTGCTTCGCGGAAAAAGCGTCCAAACGGGCGGCCACAAAATGGAACACAAAAGTGACAAAAAATCATGCAATCCTAAGCTCATGCATCGCACAGGTTTCAAGCCTGGAAAAAAGTTTCTATTTTCTCTTTTTTCCTTTTCCTCGCGATCTATCCGCGAATCGGAATCTATTTAGTTACGGACAAGAAACGGTAACTGATAGATCATCGGGGAAATTGTTCTACGTGATCGTAACTTGGGGGGGGATCGAAATGAAACACCACAGTCGTTCAACTGTGTCCTTTCTTTTTTTCTCTTCTTCATCTTCGTCCTTTTTATTACAGTGTTCTTTGTTTTCTCTTCTTCTTTCGTTTTGCTCTTCGACGATGAATCGTCCAGATAGACTTACCCGTTCCGCCGGTTGGTTCCTCCTGGTGCTGTAGCAGAACTCGAAGATGGCGATCAACACGGCGAACGCCAGGCCGCACAGCAGAACGACGAACACTCCACCTAGGAGGCAACAGTATACGTTCAACTTCCAGCATACGTAAGTATTCATCGGTCTTGGTCAGCGGACAGGACGTTCTTCCTTCGAATTTCACGCTGACCGAAGAGGTTCGGTGAGATTCGAGTGAAGGTAACCGCGGTAGAGTGTCGAAACAGCGAAACGACGATTGAGAAACATCGAATAAAAAAGAAGTTGTAAAATGTGCATATATTCTTAAATTATACAAAGTGTGCTTGTACAATGAAATAAATAACAATAGTAATATTGGAATTTGAAATTGTAACAAAAAATCCTACCTATATTATCCACTCCCAAGGAGTTCGCTTTGCTCTCCTTTCCTTTCTCGGTCCTCATGCAAGTGTCACCAGGACTCTTCCACCATTTATCGTACAGCATCTGGATCTCTCCTTTCTCCTGAAGCTCTAGAATCGCCAAGGATATCTTATCTCGCCAGGGAGAACCTGAAAAAAAGAGGAGACGAAGAAGTAACAGGTTTATTCTCGGTAAAATTGTTCATACAGCAGAGAAGATTGTATATATTACCCATGGGAGTGGCGATACCGTATCCCTTGCTATCCAGAAGCCCTCCAATTTGAGTCAGATTGCAATCTCTCTGTACAATGTAATCCAGCATGGTCGACTCCATGAGGAAAGCGTAATCACCTTGGAGGACCCTCTGGATTCCCTCCTCGTAGGTGGGCACGAACACAGATGGTTTCTTGTTCTCCATGAACCGCCACATCTTCTTGTACGTCTCGATCATCGAGTCCTTTCGATTATTTATTCGTGTTACATACACTCTTTAAATATCATTCATCGAACATGTGACGAAAGAAGTTACCCTGAAGAAAGTCATGGTACTTCCACTGTCCAACGTCCCGTAGGAGATGTCCGTTTGGCTGGCTAGATCCTCGGCGTTCTCGATCGGCGTGATCATTCTCTCCACGGTGAGAAAGGCAGCCAAGTTCGCCGTGTAAGAGGAGATTATGATCAGCGTGAAGAACCACCATATTCCTCCTACGATCCTAGTGCTCGTAGCCTAAATGAATCACGTTCGAGGATTTAATTTTCGTTCGAGGATCTTATCTTTCACTCTACTATTCTAGAGTTAATTGAACATACGTAAATTTCAGATTTCTTCAAATTTCACATTTTGAAGAGACTTTCCTTTTATATACCTAAATAGCAAATTAAACGCGTGTCTCAATAAAAATCCCATACTCGATTAATTTCCCTCAAGATGTCTCTAAATTTCATATTTCAAAGACACCTTCCTTTCCATCGATATTGCATTCCACTGCTGTGGAATTCATCGGAAATGCACCGAATATCAAAGACTCTGAAACGAACTGTTACGAACAGGAAACTGAATGCACAAAAATTTCAAGTATCAAGTTCACGCTGACGTTGGAACAAAGGCGGCATATCGCAGCCTCATCAATAACCTCGGCCCGCTAAAGCTCCCCTGAGATTCTATTATCTCTCTAGCGCAATCCAGCTACTCTAAGTCCTGAACAGAGGACTGGGAGCGAGCGTTCGCTTAATTCACTCTACCTAATGAAACAGGCCGGTCGCCATCGTTCCACGTCACCGCTAATCGAACAATGAAACGGTAGAGACACTTCTTCGAGCTTTCATCCTTTCGGGAACCTCAATCTCTAGGTGTCCTTCCGACGTCTCGGCGATTACCTGCTCGAGCTAGAGTAGGTACAAGCGATACAATTGCTAGATCGAGAGATTCCAAGGAATCTTCACTTCGAATAACTTTTTTTTTTCAAACAATCTCTTCTTTTCTTCCTTTTCCGTTTATCCTGTCGACGATTGTATTCGCGGAATTGAAAGAGCTTCCACGGCGTGGACGGTTCGCGATAAGCAGCTTTATTTCGTACGAATAAACGTATTCTACGTGTTTCCTCGTTCAATATTTATCGGCTGTTTTTAGAGCGGATCTTGACAGCACAGATCCCGAGGCGTCGCGACACTGTCCTTGTTTCTGTGTCCCACGGTGTTTTCTCCGTATATTAATGCGCTTGTTAACAGCGGATACGACGGCAGAAGTTTCCTAGCTAATTTCACGGAGGACAATGTTTGCTGCGTAAGTTCAGTAATTATTAGTGTTTCGTAACCTTTACTGAACTGCTATATGCACTCCACACGTTGGCTTTACCTTGTGCGAGTAGCTGGGAAGTGAATGTATCGGTTGTAATTGAAAAGGACTTGCAACTTAGCAACGTCTTAAAAGTTACAATTCTGTTCTTATTGAATTGCATATTCAAAATGAAAGTGGAAAGAATTTTCAAGGGAAGCTTAGAAATTTAATTTCTGCTTTTCATGAACCATTGACTCTTACGTTCTCACGTCTCGACCCTCCCTTATCATAAATTTGATCCTCGGAATATTATTTTCCACGACGAAGTTCCATTTTATCGTCCAGAATGTTAACGGTAACATCTACGAAGAACTTGGTAGCGTACCTTGGGGTTCAGGTCGCTACCCTGCTGCATTAGGGTACCAATGGTGAACCAGAAGCTATTGGCCAGCGAGAATTGATTCTCGACGACCTCGGAGCCCGCGTGGCAGGGATGAGGGTTGTTCCACTCGTACGGGCTGATCCGCGCGACCACGAACATCATCACCGAGACAAGGACGTACGCTGCTAGCACGTACAGCCAGATTTGGATGGCCAATGGGTTCATGAAGGAAAACAGCCGGGCTGGATGGCTGGTAGGTACCTGAAATCGAACCTCCTTTATCCTTTCGACAACCAACGATCCAAGTCTAAACTTGGAAATTACAGTCGAAGGTAAAACTCGAAATATACACTCGACATACCGAGGAAAAAGTAATTGTACAAGACTGAGCTAATCACTTGTGAACGATCAATTTGAGTATAACTCGAAATTCGACGTTTCACATTCGACGATATTTATCACGGTACGATCGTAAATTTCTGGTTCTTTTTATTGAAACGAAAGTCACGCGAAGGAAATCAAAGTGACTCAATTAGAAAGTTGGCCAATTATCCCCCTTCGATTACCAAAGTAGAACGCCTATCGGCATTTCCCCCCGGGTTCCCTTGGCGCGCCTTGGCATTGAACGCGCGACACTACCGGTATCGATTTTCATTTCAATTACATTCGCGTTTCAGCCCGTGCCCTCTCCTCATAACGTGCCCGTAAATTCCACCTAACAGGCGAGTTCATTATCCCGGGCACGTGTGCGCGTGTATACACGTATGTACGTGTGTGTCCCTTTCGTTCGCCAGCGCCGAAATTGAAGAGCGCGATACGTTTGTCGTTCGCGTTTAATCTCGAGCAGATTAGCGATCATTCTAGAAAGGGAGGATAGAGCATGAACCGGTAAATCACGACGGCGAAATAGAATTTTGAACGTCCTCGTAATTCCATCAGCAGCCATTCCCAAAACCCCCTCTTGTTACCCTAAACGAGACCATTTTCCAACGGTGCACATTTTTATCGTCGGCTAAAAGCAGAAAAAGAACGAAAACGAATCCAGTCTGGGGATATAATTCGACGATATAATTGCACGAGAGGTATTTGTTCTCTTCAACTTCGTCATTTTCTCCAGTTTCCTCCTCGAATCGAATCACATTTCGACGAGAGGTATTCCCGCGAGCCGTTCGATTCCTCCGACAAGCGTTCGATCTTAAATCAGTTAATTCCGTTCGCGAGACTATAACATCGGTAACGAGCAGACTTATATACGCTTCCTTCGACGTCTCGAGCTGAATAAGAAAAGCAGGGACGATCACCGTCTAGAGGAATAAACCCTGTAAATCTTTTGTCTCCGGTTGCTTCGTACTCAACGACTTTCTTCCGCTATTCAATCCTCCGGGCTACCGCAATTTTCTTTCATTTTTTCTCTTTTTCTTTCCTTTGCTCCTGTTTCTTCCTTCAATTCGTAAGAGAATTCCGTAAGAAAGAGGCGATTTCTTGCGTTAGTTAAAAATTCAAAGCCGCCCCGAGGTTCTAGGTGAGCTTCGGAAGAGGTCGAGTGTGGCGAGATGAGAAATGGCCACAGAACACGGTCGAAGTTACGATACCCTGCGGTTGACAAGCGACGGAAAATTCGTCCACGGTTTTTCTCTCCCCCCCCCCATTTTTTTATTTCTTCTTTTTCTAGCAGAGTGGAACATTATCGAGCCGCTTCATTTGCGCGGCTGTCGTAAATCCGTCGATATATCTCGATCCATCACGTGCTCGATACCGGTGAAATTCGCGATCCCTGCCGTCTATCAAGCGGAATTTACGAGCCACGGGTTTTATTTACTTGACTTAACCAATTTACGTCGAGGATCTTCTTGGCGAGGTTTCCTTCAAATTCACACGGATACCTAAGGAAAACAACCGTCATAAATATTTCAAACGCACGCGATACCGACTCTCGAATTTTTCTTAAACAGTGAATAAGGAAGTATACTAGAATTGTGATCAAAGTTTCAACGAGAATTACAGTGATACAAAAATCATAGCTCTCGAATATTAAGCGAAAATGAACAGAAAATTGAAAGCTTAAAAATTATTGCAAGTTAATTTAAGAATTTCAGATCGCATATAGGCGTTTTGAATATTTCCTAGCGCTATGCCTCAATGTAATCCTTAATTTTTGTACTTTGCACCTCTCCATATATTTAACCCTCTATGGGCCCGTGTAACTTTCAAGTCACATACTAATATATCGATATTTTATTAAATAATTGAACTTTCTTCCACAAAATGGCATAAACGTCTTGTTGTACAATGTCTCCTTATTAACCAGTAACTTTCTTGATAACCGTTGTTACTTCAAAGTTACAATATGTATTCGTTATGATAAAATTGTCGAAACTGCTGAATTCACTGTTATTCCGTATTTATAGGTCGATATTTGCTAATTTTACGTTACATAAATTCTTTTACAGTCAAGACAAATATTCGGCCCATAGAGGGTTAACAAAAGAAATTTAGAAACGACGAATTTCAAATTTAAATTTACAAATTTTTCAAAATTTTAAATTGCCAAAACGAAGGATTCTTTTTACATAGCGATACACATAAATCTATAATAAAGATTGCAAGAATGATCGCGTCACCGCGTGTCCAATAAAACGTAATTAAGCGAATGATAAGTGGCGAAACCAATAAAGACCGTGCCTCGACCGAGTCGTTCCACTTTTTTCCACGGCTCGTTAAGCTGCTGGAAGGAGATCGCGAGGAATTGTGGAACGCGTGTCCACGGCAACAACAGATTGCAATATCGCGGCGAGAACCAAAGCTTTGACGGTTCAAGCCCGCGTTCTCCGTGGGCGATCAATTACGATATCGAATAATTAAAGGACAGCTTGGTCTGGCGCGACGCTGATTGCAATTAAGCGGTCGCATTACACTAATTAGCGAGGCCTCCTGTCCTAGACGTTGATTGCTTCTCGATACTGTGAAGATTCTCTCCCTTCCTCCGTCTCTTTCTTTCATTTTTTTCTTATTCTCTTCAATTGACAGGAAACAGATGGATCGACGTTTAAAAGTTTAAACGAGTCCCACGGATAGTTTCCTCGTTCTCTATTGTTCTCGGAGGAAATTCTCAATAAAATGGTTCTCATTTCTTGCCAGGATATAAATCGAACATATTTTAGTACAAGTACTTCAATACGAAACATCCTTTTGCAGATTGTTCCAAGTAACGACGAAGAATTTCATTTCATACGCGGTGAATATTTCTGTAGGATCAGAAATTAGTATCGGTAGATTCCTCGACTCAAGTTTGCGAAATTTTTAACGCATAAGTTATTACGAATTATAAGCGTATCTTTCTGGGAATTACTTTCAGGTGGGTGAGGAACGTCGTTACACTGTCTTCACCTCAATTTATTAAAGTATAAGTGTATGGTCGGCGTACAATTGGTCCAGAAAATACAATCGTTTACTCTGTTAATTGTCCCGGCGGCAGCGGTTCGGCGGGTACGTCGCGATGATCGGTAAAGGAACAAACTGTCCGGAGGTGTAGGCGTACTGGGTTTTCATCTTGTTAGGACAGGGAGACAGGAGTAGCGATAGATAAAGATAGATGTGGAGAAATTGGTGGAAACGGAAAATTCGTTCGTCCTCGTGCGAACCTGGATGCCACGTGTGCGCTTCTTAGGCCACTCGAGGACTAAAATCTGAAGGAGTTGGAACAGGGAAAGTTCGCGTGGAAGAATAGAACGACGTTCGGTAAGGGTTTGTTGACGACGACGTACCCGCCACAATTTTAATATATAAAAAGAATTGGTTGCACTATTTTCAACTTTATATCTCGAAAAAAATAGGAAAAAATGGAAGAATATCCGCAAAGTTGCAGAGTTCAGTTACTACAGTTTCGCTACACAGGCTCTATACAATTTACGATTATTATCGAAATAAAGGAAGACTGGGTGAATTCACAATTGCACCCGAAATGAGAATCGCTGTCCCAGAGCAGCTCGTGCTCCAAGGATTCGCGTGGAAAGAATGGACCCCGTCCGGTCCTCGACGCATTCACTCGAGAGTGAGAGAGGAAAAAGTGACTCGGTGTAGAAAATTTGCTGGCAATTAATATGGCCGCGATATAAATTAACAACAACAACAAGGAGAGTACGATTTTATTTGCCCGACTCGGGACCAACCGTTACGGAACGCGTGTTATTTACGAACAACCAGGTGGAAAGAAATGGAGAAAAAGGAAATAGAAGAAGAGAAGCTTCCGCTTTGCTTTAGGAAGAGCACACATGGCCGCGAAATTTGAACAAACTCCTGCTAAAATACTAATTACCCACCACCGACCACCACCGGTGAGAATTAATTAAACTGCTCTATCGCGTTGAAAAACGCGTTTCCGATGAATTAAAGAATGTTAGCGTATTTACAAGGCGAAGTACACGGTTCGTTGAAATATATTTCTCCTCTTTCACATTTTCTACTTCCATTTCTTACACATTATATACAGCAGATATTCCAACCATGATTGAAACTGATACATTTACATTCGCAGACGACACAGCTATACTATCTGCCCACAATGACCCAAAGACAGCGTATGATAACTTACAGCAACATATCACAAAATTAGAAGAATGGTTGCACCGATGGAAAATAAAAGTAAACACGGACAAGTGCAAGTACATTTACCTTTACCTTAAAGAAGGGTACTATTTCGGATCTTAAACTCAACAATACTTCCGTACCACAAACCAAATCAGTTAAATACCTGGGACTACACTTGGATTCAAAATTAACATGGAAACAACACATACGTTCTAAAATCGACCAAATCCGCATCAAGAGGAGAAACATGTGCTGGCTTACATGCAAAGGATCTAAATTAAGTCTTGACAATAAACTTTTAATCTACGAAACAATTATAAAGCCCATCTGGACCTATGGCATCGAGATGTGAGGCATGGCAGCCAAAAGCCACATTGCTCAAATTGAGTCATTACAATCTGTACGATACTCTACTCGTGAACGAGACTGGTTTCAGCTTCGAACTCAGTTAGTATCGTTGCGCTCCCGATGTGTTAATCCCGGAAGGGCGAAATTCTAGTAGTTGGTGTGGTGATGGTGAATAATAGGTTCTCTCCGTCAGAATATTTTTGAACTCTCTTTATTTGTGGTGGTGCGTGGGTATATATTAGGTCGGTGTGTGTTCTGATTGGTTGGACGTTGAAGGTGGTGGAAAAGGTCTCGAAAAATGCGGTGGTGTGACTGGATATAAGGAAACTAGTGGAAGGAGAACGTGAGGGTGAAGGTGGTGGGCAAAAGTTGAAATAATTTGGGGAAAACCCGGAAAGGGGAAAGGGATAGGAAACATGACCAGGGAGCGACTTGAACTATTTTATGATAGGGAAGGAATTTGTTAGGGGCTAGGAAGACGGTTGGAAAGGACTGTTTATTAATTTATGATATGTGACTGGCCGGTGGGCTGCGCGACCGGACACAATCTATAATTCTTAGAACAGTAACCAATGTTCCATGGTATGTTCGAAATGACGACATTCGGAAGGACCTCCAAGTTAAAAAAGTTTCTGATGAAATCACTAGTCGCTGCGACAGCTCTAAAAAAAGGATAGACAGCCATTCCAATGACCTAGCAAAAAAACTGTATAAAACCAGTCTGATTCGCAGACGACACAGCTATACTATCTGCCCACAATGACCCAAAGACAGCGTATGATAACTTACAGCAACATATCACAAAATTAGAAGAATGGTTGCACCGATGGAAAATAAAAGTAAACACGGACAAGTGCAAGCACATTTACCTTTACCTTACTCGCTGTTTTAAGCAACAGAACGACAATCAACTACAATTGTACGATGTTTGCTCCTTCGCGATCTGAGAAATGGAATAAGGAAGAAGAAGAAGAAGGAGAAAAAGTTAGGAACTGGTAGGATCGTCTCGTAAATTTGGCCGAACGAGGAACGATTGGTTTTCCCATGGATAGCCGGGAAAAAAGACAAGCGACAGGTGGAAAGGAGGCTGAGGAGACTGGAACGAGGTACGATCGTCTAGGAAATTTTATTTAGGAGGAGACTGGACCGTTTGTCTCCACGTTTCATCCTGTCCTCGTTATTGCTGTCGTTATTCTTCTCCAGCCTCTGTCACGATCACAATGTACCGATACTATTTCCGTATTTCATCAAACATATATCCTCTGAAATTGATTTACTTTCACGACAATTTGTCGAACATTTGTTTACCTTCATTTTGCCGCATTCTATCGCGAAAATTCGCGAGCGAATTTGTTTAATTTGTCAAAGGTAACGGTAATTTCACCTCTGTTCAAATTCATTTTGATTGATTCGAATTAACCCTTTCGCTGCGACACGTTTCAGACGAAAAGTACTCGTGTGCTGAACGAAACTGTTATTACTCAACGCTGGCATAAAAATAAAGACAGTTTCACGACATTTAAATTATAAGAAATATTTCTCGTATTGTCGCAGCTCTTCGTAGCGAAAGGGTTAAAATGTAAAGAGACACGTGTTAACAAATATCGAAGCAATCAATCAGTCCTTTCACAATTCGAAAGTTTCCAGTCTCTCCGAAAAAAGGACATTCGAAATATTTCTGGACAAAATTAGCGGCTGCTTGTCGAAAATCAACGTAGCACGAGGCATCAGAGTTCCGCACGATCGAGTGAACAGAAAGAACGAGGGAGCGGCTGGTCGAACAGAAATCGAATTTCTCGGTTGGCCGGGACCGTCAGCTAATCGAATTATCCGCGCGCCATCACCTGCGAGTCGCTCTAATTAGCTCGTGGCGACACGTGGCGTGGCCCGTCGCGTCAATTTCGCACGCGCCACGAAATAATAATCGTCGGTCCGGCACGCGGCACGCGTACATCAATCGACAACGAAGTCGTGAATTTATCACCGAGGACGCGTTACGGAAGAGATTCCTCTAGTCGATTCATGACGAATTCGTCAGCGATTCCTCTGGTTACGTATGTTATAGCGTATACATATGTACGGTTTTCGCGTGTCTGGATCGATTCTGAAACGTGGTTTCAATCGCGGACGATACATCGAGGAAAACGATGTACGTTTCGTTTTGGTCGATTGACGCGAACTGTGTTCCGCGTCGCGAGTGAAATTGAAAAGGCTGCTGCAGCTCTTGCTCAAGATCGTTTTGTCTCATTTTTGCGTTTTTTATATTCCTGGGAATATTTATAATTATGGAGTCGAGCGTTTGTAGAAAGTAACTGCAGAGTGATCAAATCTATTTTTCGCGCGTGAAATTTAAAAGGACGCTGCAGCTCTCTCTGAAATCGATGGATCGTTTAAAATTGTTTCACAAATAATTGCAGATTTTTTCTAGGAAAAATGTTACTACATTTTTATGGGACATTTTTCGTCGGAATACGTATTTATCCACATGAGAAAATTTCGAAATGAAAGTCACCCATCTCGATGGAATTTTGGTACGCGGTATAGATGTCGAAAAAATATTCGATACCTATTTTTTTTTTTATCGGCAATTGTCCATACTGTACGGAAGTCGGGGGTAGTCAGTCGAAATATTTTACATTTACGGAACATTATTCGCGGAGCAAATTATTTATACCTCGTTTCAAAATACGGTAGATCAGGTTCCACATTTTAATCTTTCCTTTTCATTTTCTGGCTCATTTGGTGTTACACCAAATGGGTAGAGGTGGGTTAATGGATTATGGATAAAGGGCGTAGAATAAAGTAGTTCAAACGGGGAGCTTAACATTTTCAGTAAAGGGACCGAAAGATAAGGTAGAATTAATATTCATGCACTCGCGAGAGGATATTAAACTAGAATCGAGCCCTGGTAATCGAGGAAACCCTCTTTACGATTTTCATTCGAGGACCGTGAGATTTAAGTATTGACCCAAAGTGTTCCATGATCCTAGCAATAATAATAAGAGAAACTCGTGACCGCGGACGAAAGGCAGTAGATGAGGCAAAGTGGAATAAAAGAAGGAAGTACAGAGAGTATATCGTAATGTATGGACATAACTTTCAGGCTGTACCGCAGCAGGGAAAGCAATAAAAGGTTCTCACGAATTTACTTCTTATTTGTTCTCGTTTCTGAGTTACGGCCGTTTCTACGTCCTACTAGTTCCTTCGCGGAAAGAAACTAGCGCAATGACGCCATTTCGTCACGTCTATTTAATTCCTTTAATTTAACAAATGAACGAAAATTTTTTGGTTAACCAGTCTTAACGTTCTATTGTAAATTAGCAATTTTTCGAATATTTAAGCATCAAATTTTGCTTAATCGTTGGAAAGAAGTAAGAATACTGCAGGAAAGTAAGGAATATGAATTCTTGGAACGAGGACGAACCATTAGCATCGAACCAGGTCAGATTAAAAGGGTGTTTTATTTAGGCTAGCGATTTTCTTAAGCGCATTCAAGGTATTGCTCCCCTACCGAGGATAATTGCTTTCCAGTGATTAGGTAAATTCCGGTGCTCACGCGAAATTCACCCTCTTTTCTTCGGCACAATGAAAAAGTCTTACCTTGAAGAGGATCGAGATGCCCAGGTTCATGAACGGCTTCGTGAAGTCGATCACGCTCTCGCGGGCGTAATTGATGGTCATCGAGCCGACCGCCAGGTCTGCTTTCTGTGAATAGAAACGGATTCGATTAGTCGGCGGAAACGGAGGAATTGATGTTGTTACGAGCTGAGGATTCGGTGATGCTGGGTGAAACTCAACTGTGTGGTATTTGTTGAATTTGTTACGATTCGACGCGTGGATCTGCGAACTTCAAAGGTTAAGCGAATTTTCGAATTTCAATATTCGAAACTTAAATATTGGGGAATTTAAAAATTTGAATATTTGTAAAGTTGGAGAATTGAAAATTCGAATATTTGAAAAGCTGCAAAGTCGCAAATTTAAATATTTGAAAATTGTTTAATTTGGAACTGAAGCTATTAAGAACTGACCGAACCACCCTACATATTAAAGTACAACATGTACAAGGATGAAGCCTGACCGCAAAGCACGTAGATCCGCGTGTCTGACCGTTACTCTCAAAGATGTAATGGGATCGGTGGATACTTCCGGTGGTTGCATACAGTCGTGTACGTTTTCCTACCTTCTTTGACGTTCTCTGATCTTCCTACATGTATCTGTATATCCTACGTCTAATTCTCGAGTGTCGGAAGCAATGATGGTGCTGGTGTCACTGTAGAATGGACGTGCATTTGGTGCAGAGAACTTGCCGTGGAAGCAAGGGGTAAAACGACAGGGTATCTAATTGCCTTTGAAACTTTATGACTCTGACTCTACGTCTACGTTAAAATCACCTCCTATGAGTGTTATGCTCAAGCTTAATCTCTACCAGGAACATATTTCTACGTCTCGCTTTAGCATTTCCATTTAGAAACCTTCGTAAATTTCTCTCCAAAAAAAAAAAACAAAAAACAAAAATAAAAAAGTAAAACGAACTTCCCCCAACATCTTTGATCCCTCGACGAATTGAACGGTGAAATATCACTGAAAAGTGTTTTCAAACTCTCTCTCCCTCTCTTTTGGCAAAGAAAGTGAAGAATCGCTGGAAGGACTGGCGCAGAGTATGAAAAAGAATTTAACGAAGAAAACGTTCCGAGGACGAACTAGTGAAACGATGCATGCATACGCGGTCGAGATACGTTATCTCGGTGCTTTTTCAGCGTCTGGAAAAGCACTCTCCGTGCCATGGAACACGTCACCGGTCTAGGCAGATTTATTTCTGACTACCGCCGCTTGGAAACCGTATATGTGGCCACGACCGATAACAGGGGCTGAAAGAAACCGCTCACCCTTCGTTTCGCGTGTCCGTCGCGGATTTCTTCTCTTCCCGGCTCTCTTGTCTGATCGTTAAGCGACCATTTTTATGACCATTTTCCCCGAGTATTTTGACATTTACCAACGGTGCAATACTTTCTCTCGTTTCATCCGTCATATTTCGAACGATCGCTCGTATTTTCGCGAACATTTCACGGAGAACTTGGAACGGAGCGATGAAAAGCGGGCCGGCCAAAGAAAACGCGGAAGTAGAAAATATATTTTTTTTCGCCACGAGAAACGCAGAGAGAGGGCGATGTAAACGTAAAAACGACCGGCTAAATCAATTTGTCGACCGATCGACCGTAACCGAACGACGAGCTCGACTTTTCGACTGCGTTTCTTCGCGCGGAATCCCCGATGATTGAGCCAGAATTTTTTCCCTCTCGCCTGTACCTAGAGAGTTCGAGAGATTTTTGTCCAACTTCCACCTTGTTTTTCTCCCCCTACCCATTACGATCGTTTGATCGCTATGTCGTAACGTCGTTTGAATTACGAGAGAAACGGACTAAATTGGACAAATCGGTCTCTCCCCCTCTCTCACTCTCGTAATATCAGAGAAGAATTTCAAATAGGAGAAGGTTTAATTATTTATTCATTCGTCGGGACGTTCACTGATAAGGTATTTCCACGATATTGGTAGTAATTTATTTGGCCGCATCACCCGGTAAGGAGCTCGTTCATTAATCAACAGGCTTGCGTAAATTACAACATCCATCTATTACCATTAAATGGCGAAAGGGAATGCTAAGTAGTCAGGTGATTCAGGCCGAGCATTCGCCTCTCCCTCTTTATTACGCGAGAAAATCGTGGTGGTTAAGTCGCATTTTTCCGTTCCTTCCACCGGGGGAAAATTATTAATGATCATCTGACAAAATTAATAACGCTGGCCCGAGGATATAGCCTCGGTCCGCTTTGTACCAGCTGTCGTGCTCGCCTGAGTACGGAGAGAAATACGGAGGAAGAGTGAGGGAGAGAAAAAACTGGTAGCCGCAGCAAATTTCTCTTTGTTTCCGGTCATTTGCGAACCCCGTTTTGAACGTGTTACTCGTTCAACCGTTAATTACTTTCGTTCGATGTAATTTCACCTAATGAAAGCTACCGGGTTAAAGAGTTACCGAGGGGAAATTTGTACACGGTGAATCGGTGAAAATTTTTCGTTGTTCACGCTTTTGAAGTTGATTCTACCCCTCGGTTTCGGTGTTTCGCGCGAGACGCGAAACGGGAACGGGGCGAACGCGAGAAAATTATTGCCGCGCTAATTCCCGCGAAATCGCGATATTAATTGTTCCACAGACACAGATTCGCGAACACCGGATTCATCCATTATGCATTACACCGTAAAGTACACATTCGACTTGAGCTTCGCAGAATACCGGATACGAATCCCGACGTTTCAGATTTATTGCGAAACTGGCTCTGGAATTCAGACACTGCCTCCTCTCGTATAGATCTACGCCGGACCCGTGTGCCGTGTATATTTTATTTCTTTAAGAAGATTATCTCGTTTCAAGCATTCAGCCCTCTTTATTTATTCGTTGCAATTATTCTTGTGACGTTCTGTTCGATAGACATTTGACAGATCACGATGGAATACTTATTAACAAATAACGCTAACGTAAAATTATCAAACAACAAACAGAATTCTCAAAGTCCTTATTACCTCTATAATTTAATTTCCTCTGCAATTATACAAAGTAAGTTTCAAGTGTACCAGTGTGAGTTTCCTAACTAAACTTCATACGTAACTTTCGCGACTGTTACGCACCAACCCTAACTTCATCCTGAATCCATCAAATGTTTAATGCGGCTTGTGAACAGAAAGGTGTTTAAACGAATTCTTTTTTCAAATTCTACAAAGAGTGCCTTTTCCCCTAAGATTCTTTCCTCGTTCGTGTGTCGGTAACATTTCCTAGCTGCTAACTTCATCACAGTGTCTGCCTCCCAGGTGGCGAGAACCTGCGACGTAAGCCGCACTTAATCAATCGGCTGTGCACGCGTATCAGCTGCTACTACCTGGGACACATCCTGGTTGACGGCTGAAGCTACGCGAGCCACGCTTTCGTGCTTCTCGGTCGGCGAACGATGCATACACACGCATTTCCAACGTTCCGCTGCATCGAATCGTGATTTGCATTGCAAACTACCTCCTCCCCTGGAATGCCAACGTCTCGCATCCCTCCCTCGTATCTTCGTTATCGGTAGCTATCGAAAACTTGGTCTATACTTGCAAACTTGAGTTTCGTACACGACACAGGAAGTAATAACACGAGGGAGAGGGGTGTAGGAGGAAGAAAAATTGATACGATTGTCGTTTCACCGCTTCGGTACGTTTTATTAGAGATAATTTTTATTTCCACGGATATATCGGATTTTTTATCAATAGTTCAGATATCCCCCATTCTGTCATATCACGGGTATGTTTTATTTGATTAGGAAGGAATTTATATGAAAAATGAATGTTTCAATTTTATCGGAGGTACACACAGTTTTTTATTTAATTAAGGAGGGTTTCTTTTTTTTTGGACGAAACATGAACCACGACGGATTGCCCGGCCCTTTTATTATGATTACACCGCTTGAACGTTGAGGAATAACTTTTTTATTCTTCTTTTTTAGTACACGTATTTATTTTTTAAATACTGCATCGTGTTGTGCCAGGGGTATATTTGATTTAATTAAGAAGAATTCCGATGAAAAATGGAATCGCGACTAAACGGAGAATCGAACCCAGGACCTTCAGGGTCCGAAGACGGGCACCTTGGCAATTACGCCAAGCTCCTCCGTATTCTCGGTATCATTATTTTCCTATATAAATGATACATGCGTGGCTCCGTTCTCACGGAAGACACCTCCGACGCTTTATCATTTCATTAGCACAGTTAACCCCTCTCTCCCAGGATATTTATCACGATCTTAACGAACATTTAATCAATTTTCAACACACCTTTCCCTCGCGATTCATCATCGATAAATAGACTCTGCTGGTACCTTCAAACATTCATCCTCCCCTTTCTAGAAATACCTTCGTACAACTATTTCGCTCATATCCCATCCTATACATACAATGACCCCCATTCCAAAAGCATTCCTCGTGTCATCTAAACCTCGTGCTTTACACTCGATCCTCCAGGTTCCTCGTGCCTGGAGAGGACACTGGCTCCAACTATCCCAAGTGTCCAGCATCGCGCATACTTACTCTGGGGGCGTGGACGTGCTCTTTCCATGGAATCGCGGGGAACACACGGCCGGTTACATGTAAATTTCCGTGCACTTTTGCACGCATCTTCGTCGCACATACTCACCTTGTCCATCAGCTGGCGGACTATTCCGTTCCATTCGCCGGTCTCGTAATCGTAAACGCCGTACTTGCCATCCGGCACGAGCTCGATCCTGTAGGCGAAGCCCACCATGTGAGCTATCTCCTTGAGTAGGTCGATGCAGAAGCCCTCGTAACGTGCGTTCCCGCTCAAATTCCCTCTGCTCTTCAGCATTACGTACGGCTGCTCCTACGGGTACCATAAAAAGGAGCTACTACCTTTCGTCCTTCCTCTTCTCTTCTCTTCCTCTTCCAACTCTTTCTCTTTCTCTTTCTCCTTTCCTGCTCGCAGATCTACTCTCTCTCCCCCATTTTATAACCTGTTTCCCTCTACCTTTACTTCCTCTTCACTTTCCTCCTTCTTACCATTCTCTACCGGTGTAACCATCTCTGTTCCTCTTTCCTTCTCAATTTTTCTCCCTGCAACCACCCTATTCTTCAGGGTGTAATCTACTACCATTTTTTTCCTCTCCTTTTCTTACCGTTCCTCTCTTTTATCCTTTCTTCATCTAGATAATCGTTTGCACAGAAGGAAGGCTCTATTCTGGCTACACATTTTTCAGCGTTTAAGTTACAAACTCAAACTTTGCACAGTCACACTTGACAACTACGTAGGATCTAATTGTTCGAATTATTTCTAAGATTTACGGAAAAGGAGATTTCCAATTATCTTTCGAAGAAAAATGAAGACTTCCACGGCTTGACTATCAAGTCACCGAACGCTCTGATCGATATTTACCGCGAGTGTACGCTCTCCAAGGCGCTCGATGCTGATTACCAGCTAAATGGATTAGAACTCGATAGACTATTACCGCGAACGTTCCCTCGGGACAATGCGAGAACCTCGCAGCAAGAACGTGGAATAGGTGAACGATCTCGTGGAAGAGGGTTTCCAAGCCTGCCGCAGAAGGATTTACGTCTTCATGGTTCACATTCTCTGACTCTTATACGAATACGATATCCCTGGGAATTCGTGGCAACATGGAAATCCTATTTCCTCAAAGAAATCCGCGAATAAAGGTTACACTCGAGACACGTGTACGTTGACTCGTCGAGGAAATTCGTCAATCTTGTCGTTCGAACCGCGGTTTACCACTGAGTAATTAGCAATCCAGTTTATTTAAGTTTAATTTAACTCCCTCTCGGAGAGGTGTGTTTACGCAGAGGGGAAAGCTCAAGGCGTGCTTGCACGTCAGACATTTACGATTGCAAATTAGTCACGTGTGTCGGCGGATTCTGTTAAATACGTCGAGTTGTGGGAACGAACGGGCCTAGAAAGAGGAACAGAGAGAAGCTAAAAATTTCCTGAGCTGATAACAATGTTGTTAAGATATCGACGATTGATTGATACGAAGTACGATTTACGCGTCGATCAAAATTTAGAGAAACTTTCCTCGATTTTTACGGGACACCTATGACCCGGTGTCACATTTATTTGGGTGAAAAAAGAAGGAGTATTACTCGTCGTTTTCTCTATATTCCACGTTGATGTGCGTCAATTAGCAGCCCGTGATTCCATGGACTCGATTTATGGGCTTTATTACGCGCCGTGCAGACACCCGCGAGTAATTAACGCGCGGCGTCGTGATTTACCTTCGGCTCTTCGGGCAGACGCGGTGACAAGTCGCGCGAGGTGATCGATCAGGATGATTTAGAAGTGGTCAGTTCTAGGTAAACGACGAGTCGAGGATCGTCGTTAGATGAAGTCGTCTATATTTGAATATCGAGCACGGTGGACGAAAACAGCTTGTAACGAGTGACACGGTGCAAAAGTGTCTGGATGAATGGGGGGAAAAAAGTGCGTTCACTTTTCCTTGCTATCGTTGCGATTCTGTTCGCCGTATCTTCCTGATCAGAGGTGATTTTAATCAGGATATCTCGAGTGGTGCGGATAAATGTTCCACTGTGTACACTGTAACAGAACTGTCACCCTCGCGTATCGCGCAGTCTTTCTCAGTAGGTCAGTAGTGTTAACAAGTATATCTCATCCTTGAATTCTATCGAGGGTTAAAGTGTATCTCACGTTTCTCGCCAAGTGTTCCTGTGGGACTCTATTTACCTCGACTACTCGTATCATCTATCTCAGCAACCACCTAAATTGTCTTTGGACTCTACCAAGTGCCATCTAAATCTGCCGAATATGTACAGTGTTCGTGTGTCTAGCCTAATGTCTACTGATCGTAAGGTGCTGTTTTTTGTGTCGATATAAAAAAATTGTGTCGATATAAAAAGAAAAATAGAAAGTGATCTAATTAGGAAAGATTAGAGATGTGTCTAGAGAATATTTGTGATACGTTGTGTCTCTCTATAGTTACCTACGTGAGTTAATTAGGGTTGGTATATAGTTTTGGTGAAGAACCAAGTGAGATGAGAAAAATTAAACAAACCAAATCATACATGTCGCATGAGTTCTCTGACGATGCCGTTCCACTCCCCGGTTTCCGGGTCTTTCGCGCCGTACTTCCTGTCCGGTACCAGCTCCAACCGGTAAGAGAAGCCGACCTCCCTCGCCACCGCCTCCAGTAGGTCCACGCAAAAACCGTAAAATCGCGCGTTCCCCGTGTAGTTTTTTTCGTAGTGCATCATCACGTACGGAATTTCCTGTGCCGCAACGGGGGCCGCCATGCAAACAACGGAACACGCTGTCAGATCTGGACGATACATGCTTCCCCGTTCGACCTGCACCCTAATCGCTCTCGAGAGGCTTTTCGAAACGGTAGGAATCCGACACGGTTGTAGGTAGCCTCGACGAACGATCGATATTCGTTCGAACGACGACGTTACATGCTATAGACAATTTCTTTTATTTCTATAAAACGACCGTGTTATTGAAAAAGAAATTTGACGTTTAGTGTCTAAAGAATAGTATCACGTTTTCGTGTCTCAATCTGTCTTCCACTGACCTTGAGCGTCGCTTTCTTCGAACCAGGCTATAGGCGACTCTTACTCGAGCGTACATATTCGATCGTTAACAATTTCACGACTCGTCGATGCAGCGGTCGATTTTATCGAAATGTGAAAACGCCGAGATTTTATACCGTTTTAACCCCTATTCCCTAGATCCCGTACGGTGAGTTATGTACAACGGATACCGGACATAAAGTACGAGATTCCATTACGCGGACGACGCAATCGCTGTTTATTACTTCGCAACGGTGTGGCCCGTAAATATCGTTCCACGGAACGCGGATGCTGTACATTCTGGATCTTCGTTGTCCAAGTCTTTGGGGACGTGTTATCGCTCGTATCTGCCTGAAATTACTCGCTCTGAACTGGTCAATAATTTAGTCAGTCGTTCTAATCCTCCACGACGCGATCAAACGGATCGTTTCGAGAGTCACGTTCGACAAATTTATCCGGCGCTGTTGCTTCCGTCGATAGATACGTATATGTCTTCGTCCAAAGTCTGTTTATCTCGTAAGTGAATATATCTCGCGAGAAGAGATTCGAACGAAAGACACGAAGACGTATTTATTTGTCGTCGAGGTAGAAATAGTCGCGACTTCGATATTGCCTTCCACGCGGTATCGATACAGGAATGAATGAATTTGGAAGCTGCGAAAGATGAATAATTGGGACTCACCAGTATCGTGATGACAAGCAGAGTGACATTCGCCGAGCCTGGCTCGAAAAAGGCCGCGGTGTCCGTCACGTTGACGCCGGCGCCTGGACGCCACTCACCGACCTGTTTCAATTTTCCAACGATTTTGACAACACCTACGAGAGAATTACAATATTTCCATTAAGAGAAAAAACGGGATATATACCTTAACTAACGAATGTTGCTTGAGCTTCAGCAGATCAAGCTTGAACTGTATCCTGCGGCCTTCTTTGAACTCAATGGGACCAGAAATGCCCTTCATCTCCACCTGGAAATCGCAGAGAAAATTCTTCGCTCTAAACTTAACCTTATTTTCCAAACACCGTACCATTCGTCTTCTAAAAATTCCCAACTTCTCAAAGTCGAAGTGAGGTCCAATCAAATTTTCGCCCGAGATTCACCGACGAAGATAGAAAAAAGGGACACAAAGGGTAAAAAAGGAACTACTGTCAGCGGAAAGAAGTTCGAAAAGATCTTTTCACGATCGCTGAATCATAATTGCACATTTGCATCCCGGTCAGTGGCCCTCAAGGTGCAAAATGAACGACGAGGACCAGGGGAAGAGATTAAAAAGTGTACGGGGGCCAAAGCTGCTCGACTCGTTTCTCAAATTTATGCGCCCCACGATCCCGAGGACGAGGAGGCGCGAGCCGGAGCCCGGTCGTCCGGCACGTTCTCAAAATATTTTCACGCGGGACTGGAGGAGAGCGGAAACACGGATCAAGCGTCCTGGCCAGCTTCCGCTCGGATTCGCCGCGCGTTGGAAAGCCGGCCTAACGACCTCCGTCGTTGAAGGATCAGTTGCAATAACGACTTTTTAAGCGAGCAAATTCTTAACTCCTTCTTGCCAGCCTTTTCAGACGATATCGCGCGGCTTCAACGCGAATAAAGTCGAAGGAAACAGCGGTTCTGTGGCTTGTACTGTTTCTGTGATTTCTAGGACACGAGGAAGGATAAATAAATAAGTTTTATATTCTTTTATGCTCTTTGAAAGACACTAGATTATACTTTTTCAACTGGGAGGACTTATGATTTTTGTTTCTTTTACGGATAATTGTCACAAAGTATTCCCATTGGTTTTTAACTCGACGAATTAGCAATTTTATCTTTGGAGAATAAATGACTTCTTTCTTTTCAATAAGGAAAATTTACGATTGGTTTTTCTTTATCGAAAGTTGTCGCAAAGTATTCCTATTGGTTTTTAACTCGGCGAGTTCGCAATTTTATCTTTGGGGAATAAAAGATTTCTTTCTTCTCAATCAGGAGATTTTAATTGAGAAAATTGACGATTTATTTGTTCGCGGAAGCTGTCAAAAGGCATTTCTATTAGTTTTTACTTTATCAAATTCATAATTTGATCTATACCAAGTTTGTAAAGCAATCGCGTTGATTCCGCGGGGATAAGAAAGGGCGAAAGGCACGGCGCGAATGATGCATAACTGCAATTTACCAGTTTCCCCGGCCTGTGTATTGTGCGAAAGATGCGAACCAGTGACGGAGGCGTTAATTCATTCAACGAAACTCTTCTATGTCAAATTTTATTCACACCTCGCAAAATACTTGAAATATCACCGCAGCACAATTTTATACCCCCGTGAAAAACCTACGACACTATGAAGATTCTCCTATTTCCACCCATTCTCAGCGTCGATTATGCGTATTCTGCTTTACGAGCGTTTAAAACGAAACAGCCCCTCTCTCTCTCTCTCTCGTTCTATGAATTCACCGTGGAATAAGGGATACCGGAGCTTCAACCAGCGTAAGAAGGGAATTGAAGAAGTTCTCTTAATATCGTGGAACGAGTGAAATCGATTAAATAAAGAACAGAAAAAGACCAGCTAGTACTTATCGAGTGGCAATAATTTCCACGGAATTTCCTGAGGATTATGGGTCGATTCTCTTTTCTGCTGTTACCCAACGACGAGCGTTATTAGATTTTCATTTTCACGAAGTTCCTCGTGTTGAAAGGGCGAGAAGAAACGAGCGGAGAACGGTTCTGTCGTATCGAACAAGTAGATTTTTTTTCGAATTTTCCTCTCTATCTTTATTTCTCGAGACAAGTGAAATAATCTCGTTACGTGGAAATTCTATCGCGTGTACACGCGTTCTTACCGACCGTAAACAATTATCGTTCGGTTTCCCTCGTTATTCTCCCCCACGGCGGGACCTTCGTAAAGAGGATCGAGACGTCAGACGAGTCGCCGGTAAGGGGAAATTATGAGGTTACCCGGGAATATTATCTGTTGCAAAATGCGGTTATCGTAGACGATAGGATAATATAGACACGATTCACCGAGGATGTATCATGAACGTCGACAGTAAAATCGCGAGGGGGAGAATTCTGACGTATCGGAGGCTTCATAAATACGAGCTCGATCGATGGCGAAGGCGCCGCGCGGCTTCTTCGAGGATTCCAAGAGGGATCAGAAAGTTTCACAGCCTCTGCATCTGACGTTTGTTCGTAGCAGATATTTCTGCTGGATGCGTCGAATCCCGGGGAAATGGGACTGATAAGAATGTATAAAAAAATAGGAAAGTTTCGTTGGGAAACTGGTTGGTAGAAGTAGGGTGTCTCCGTGAAATGTGGTAGCAACGTGAGGAGTATGAATCTTGCTGAAGAAATTAATGAAAAATATTTTTCTATTTCTTTCGAGAGCTTTCGGGAAATTTCTCGAACCGCGAAAGATATATAAACATATTCACTTTTGTTTCTTTGGAATAACCGAGAACTTTGCCGAAACATCTACGTACATATTATGCAAGGTATCTCAGCTGATTTTGACATATTGATTTTCTCGTTATTATTACTCATAGCGGAAAATGTTTCAGATGAAATTTAAACGGTGTCGAAGGGGGCATATTCTGGTGCTGTTAATTCTTTCACGAGTGGAAAAGTTTCACTTTCATCTGAAACACATTTCGCTTTGAGTAATAATAGCGAGAAAATCAAGATGACAAAATCAGCTGAGACGCTCTGTATAAATAAGAGGCGAGCAACAAAAGCGAGTCAGTCTGTCTGTACAAATCGTGCAATAGTCTGTGTCTGTAAACGTCTGTTTTCTGTCTGTTTCTTTTTTTCATCGTTAGCGTAAATAATAAAATGCGTTGTAGATTCTGTTCGGTCATAAAACACTTCAAGGCAGGCAAGGCGAGGGATTAGTCGACACGGCCTGCAAATTTAATTTCCAACAGCACAATTACCAAAACCCTCCCATCTGGCTACCAGAAGCGGCCAACTTAGCGACCGACCAGGAAACAGTAGGGATTCCCTGCAATATAACAAACATTTTTTAGCAACAATCTCCCTACCTTCTCGACACCTCAGCTACCCCCAGAATATTGGAACACCAATGGACACATCTCGACCACCTCCACTACATTTTTAGACAGCAAATCAGAGCACACACAGAATTTATAAATTGACACGCACAGACACTCAAAGGTTATTATTATTTTCGTAACACATCATACCGTTCGATATACATTCGACACAGACATCAGTATTGTACATATCTCGTTAAACTAGTTATAATAAACCTATATCGTTGTTCAATATTGTGTTTGATACAATCAAAAATTCATACAGTCCACTATCCAATTGCATACTTCGAAAGACTTCACTGGAATCCACTAAAAGGAAACCAGTTCGAAGTCCGCGTCATACTATCGTCGCGGAAATACTCGTCGACGCTGTGACGCGATAACAGATTCTCTTTCCAAAAAAGTTTTCCGTGTTCCTTACACTATTCGATCGTCGTTTTCGAGAAAATGAAATTTGTAAGAATGACAACTTGCTCGCAGGTACTACATCTTCCGAGACACCCTGTGTATGAAAGAAACTTTGAAGAGAAGTAGAAAAAAGGAATTGGTCGGACTTAAAAATTCTCGGTAGATTTAATTCAAAGTTTGTTATTAATTGGAAGCAAGAAAGACAAGTTTGCTTCTCTCGGAACGTGACTAAAATTGACGAGTCGAAAGAAGTTCTGAGAAAAACGTCACTGCTTTACATCCCCAAGTTTCTCACGACTCTATAGACCAGCTTTATGGTTCACTAATTCGAACGAATTAGCTCATTCGACGCGATTATCCGTCTCGAGGGATTGTCGCGATCGCGGACTTGCATCATAACCATATGCAACCATTTCCAACGTTTCAATTTCGAGACATCGAGATTAGCGGTATCCTCCCGCGACCCATTTGTCGATTAATAATAATTCCAGGCGTATCGAACGAACGCGCGCCGTACAATACGCCGTCGCTAATTAAGTTCCGAACAAATATCGCGAATTCGGAGGAAGTGCATTTTCCGATAGCATTGGTAAACAGCGGTTCACGTGAAAAATTATTGGATTACCATTAGCATCATTTCTGTCCACATCCAGAGTTTCACGAGAAGCTCTTACGCTTTTTCGATGGAATTTTCTCGTTAAATCAACGGTCCTTTCGTTCGAATATTTTTAATAGAGGGTACTCTAAATTTCCAGTATTTTGTTTTCCTGAAAGAGTAAAATTTCCGAATTTTGTATTAACTTCAGAGACATTGGAATTTATCGACTCTCGTACCTCGGTAAAATTTTCGAATTTTCCACTTATCTCAGAGGCACTTTAATTCGTCGATTCCAATATCTCCGTGAAATTTTCGAATTTCCTGTTTAATCCAGGAAAAGTGAAATTTCCGAATTTCAAATTTAATTTATCGTTCGAGTTCTACATGAAAGATCCATTTAATCCGAAATTGATGGAGGAATAAGCGAAGAGGCGTGATATGTAATAAAAATGAAGAAAGGTCTTCTTCGGAGAGTAAGAGACGAGGGTTTAAATCGTGGAAACCGGAACTGGGAATAGCGGTATGAAACAGCGGACGGGACAACGCGGCGCGTTCGTAAATTAATGGATGGCCTCTGTTCCAGTTTCAAGCGTGCAAGTTGGATCTAAGTTGCGTCCCAAGGACGGAGAACTTTTGCCGTTTTGGCCAAGAATGCTTGTTAACTTCTGCCGGCACAAGCGTCGGATTAAAAGGGTAATAACTGGACCAGCCTGACTGGATTATCCTGAATACCCTTGCATGGTCATTTAATTACCCCGATCCACTTTGTTTTCTTTCGCGAGACAGAATGTTAAATGTTTAACGAGTATTCTTCCAACTGTGAAACTACTTGAAAAACTTTTACACAGACGTGTTTGATTTTAGAGAGGCTTTATATTCCGATACAAATACACAAACACGTTATTTCAACGCGAATACGTTTTTCGCGTATTTTTTCGCTT